AATGTCGATTACCTGAATCCGCGAATATGGCGAATAGAAGGACGAATGTCGGGAAGTAGAATGTTCGAATAAATCCTCTCATCGTAAGATTGCTCGATTACACGATCGAATTCTTGGCTGTCCGACCGTTTCATGCCTCGAGTCATTGCGAGGTGAGTCTCGATCAAATACTTCTATATATAAGGATATCCCCGGCAGTGAAAGGATTTATCGTCCCCGAGCATCATCCCCGACCCAGGAGGATGAGCATCTGAACGTGGGTGGCAATGAGTAATAATTGTTTGACTCTTTCTGTTGCATGGTGTTGCGTGAGATGATAGCAATAAGAACGCCAAACGACTGGTTTTAGCCGGCCGGCTTTACTTCGACTACGTCATCCAGCTTCAGAAGTTTCCACGAGATACACGATTCACCTCACGTTTCTTTTGAAAACGAAGGAAGGATCATGTAAATTAAAGAATGATCCAGACTCGTCTTTTTCGAATTGATGACATTATTCGGCAGCATTATACGCTTGACATTCTCTTCAACGATTTTATTTTTCGTCTTCTTTCTGGTTGTTTAACTATTCTGTTGCATTTTCTTGTGGCATAGTTACGAGCAAGAGAGAAAAATCTAGTCACGCAAAATGCGAAACTTATCGCATATAAATCGTGATGATTTCGATACTCGGACGAATTTCTTATTTTAATTTAAAACCGCGCTAATTTTTCTATATTGTTATGTTAACTTAAATTTTTCATTATAATATGTATTTTTTTATGCATTTTCCAAGAACAATGAAGAAGAAAATCAACGATCATATAATTATCATGGCATGATTGCAGAATTATTTATAGAACGTATTGATACTTAACAGCGTTTCTTTATCGATATCCTGGATGGGAGATTATATATTAGATTATATATTATCGGAATAAGGGAAAAATTTTTGATTCTTTAATTCGTTTAAATGATTATGTGATTTATTTATTATTTTTGTAATATTAATTGTATCGAGTTGGATATATTTGTAATATTTAAATTGTGAAAAATATGGTATTAAACAAATTGTATAATAATATATATATTAAATATTTTTTATTTCACTTTTATTATACGAAGAAAATAATTAACATAAGATTTGCATTAAAGCTTATTCGAATTTCCCGGTTCTCGCGAACGATAGGAAAATCGATTTGCGAGTATAGTATACTATCGATTACAACGACCTGACGCCTTACCTCGCTGGAAATGATACTTTGGTGATTGGTGACGCACGGTAACGGGTGACAAAAATCCTCTATGGTGAAGTTTTAATTTCATTCAGCGATATATTTTCAACGAGTAAGTTTTATTATTTCTTTTCAATTTTTTTCGTTCATATATCGTTAAATATATTCCTTTCTAAATATTATTACGCCGTATTTAATAAACAAAATGCAAATTCTTCGTACATTCTAAAAGCAATGTTCGCGCGTTATTCGAATATTTTGTTCGAAAAATTATAAATATTCAATAGCTTTGCAGCAAACATGTTCACATGGAAATTTATATGTACATTTCGAAGTAGAGCATGAATAAAGACAACGATTAAAAATGTTCTGCGGGTCACGTGTTGAGAAATGTATGTTCTAATTGCCCACTTAACCCCTTTTCGATGTAGAACAAAATACTGTTGGACAAAATACTGGTAATATTAATTTATTAATGATTAAAATTTTGTATATGTTATCTGCATCTTGTCTGTTTAGTAGTAAATCCTTTCATTATGGGTGATTCTGACGATGAATACGACAGGAAGAGGAGAGACAAATTTAGGGGAGAAAGAACGGAATCTTATTCGAGAGAAGGACGCCGAGATGACAGAAGGAGAGATGATTGGGTGGATAGGTAATTTCTAATGTATAAGTATTAAAATAAACGTTGCTACATATATATTAAGAAAGATCTAGTTTAGTTCTTGTGTTCGATAGCCTCTTGTACTTTTAACAATAGTGATTATTTCAGAGAATGGTCCAGTCGGCCTAGACAACGTCCAGATTATAGAGAATATCGGGGAGGTGGAGGTGGAGGACGCGATAGATATAGTCCTGGTAGGTCGCAAGAGATGGCTCCTCCTATGAAAAGGATGAGAGCAGATTGGGATGACCGACCAAGATATGGACATGATTATTATGGAGGTGGAGGAGGTGGTGCAACTTCTTGGGGTCCAGATCATTATCCACCACCCCATCATGGCAATCATCACTATGGAAACCATGGTAACAATAACAGGTTTGTGTTTCTTATGTTATTTCTAATACAGATTTTCTTTTTTTCTTTTCTTTTCCTTTCTTTTTTTTTTTTTTTTGTGAATTTGTTCTTGATTTATAAACAGCATTGTCATGAAAAAAAGAGGTTGTATTGCAACTATGCAAAAGAGGAGTCGATTCACTCCAAGATTATTAGCCCGATTGAGGTAGCACTAAAATTTCAAATTTTTTTGGCTGATTGTTAATTGTTTCATGTTTTGTGCAGTCGAGAAGTAGCCGGTAACTTCAGCAATTCCAATGTTGAAACTCAACCACCAATGATGTCTTTCAAAGCATTTCTTGGAACTCAAGAAGATTCAATTACAGATGAGGAAGCTATTAAGCGATATAATGAATATAAATTGGAATTCAGAAGACAACAATTGAATGAATTCTTCGTTGCACACAAGGATGAAGAATGGTATATTTCATTTTTTTCATTCACTAGATAGATATATATGTTCTTAAAATTAATTCTGATATAACGGAAACGAAGCTCAGTCGTACTTAAATGTGGATATAAAAATAATTAATTTCTACAGTGGTTTTCTCTCTTATTCCCGTTAAAATAACAAACTTGTAATTGTTGTCTTCGCAAGACGATTGTAATTATTTTTTGCGCGAAAATTTTATCCACTGTAGAAAATAATCTTTTATTCCTAACGAATCCATCGAACTATCTGTTCGGGTATGTATGCTCAGAGTGCATACGTATATTGAACAGAAGGACGTTAAGGGTGTAGTAGCTTTATAATTTTTGCTAAATTGCAGACACAATTTAATCGGTAATTGCAAGCAATATGACCAGCTCTGTCTATCCCTACAGTGTACAGCCAGCAACGCCTTATGTCTTGGGCACAGGTCACCTCGCTCGTTTATTTTTACGTACGATATTTTATGCATTTCGCGTTTCGCGCATCGCAGAAGAATCGAGGTGTTTATTAGGTAGTTAAACAAAAATGCGAGCTGGGCGCGCAAAGCCCAAATATGCTCGCGGTAGGCCGCGTTCTAAACCCGTTTAATTATATTTGACATTACAAAGATATGCTATTGTTGCAATAGATCTCTGAGTCGACGAGAAAACCGAATGCAAGTAAAAATATCAGACTTTACAGGTGAGGCTTCATTCTGTAACTGACAATGTTGACAATAAGATTGATAATATTTAAATAATCGTCTTGAGGAAAAGGATACAATAATACTTAGTTACAAGGAATGATTCGCTCTAGATATGGATGGGATGCGTAACAATTACTACTTACATTATTCAACACCTATCGCGATAAATTTATCACGATTATATAAATACGTTTATAATTGATTAAAAGCACGTTTGTGCTTATATAGATATATATATATATATATAAATATATATATTCTCAGTATAAAGTTATATTGAGAAATTAGTAGAACTAACTACTATGTTAATTCCAATGCACTTTTTTTTTCTGGATAAATGATAAATCCACAAATTGTACGTCTGTTTGCTTTAATTGTAAGATAATTTATTTCAAAATCGATTCAAGTACCATATTCTTTTATTATCAGGTTCAAAATAAAATATCATCCAGAGGAATCAGTGAAGAGAAAGGAGGAACAAGTGGCAGCTTTAAAAGTAAGTAAATAAATTATGGATAAAATGTAAGTTACTTGATTGATTTTTTCTTGATATTGATCGGTATTCTTATATATTTTTTTCTTTTTCTTTATAGAAACGTGTCGAAGTATTTTTGGAAATGCTCGAAGCCGAAGAAATAGATAAAGTTTCCGTAGATGCCGATCAGGCTGATGCTTTACTACATTTATTAGATGCTGTGGTCATTAAATTAGAAGGTGGTACGGATGAAGATTTACAAGTTTTAGACGTAAAACAAATAAATACAATTATAACTAAAGATACAATTAAAGAAAAAGAGGACATTAAAAGCAAAACTATGAATGATAAGAGAATTGATAACAGGTATGGATTAATGTTTGTAAAAAGGAAAAAGAAGAAAAAATATGATAATTTTGATATGATTTTGAATTTTATAGCGATATGAATAAAATAGATGAAGCTTCACGGATAGAAAAAAATTTAAAAAATGGGCAAAATACAGACGCTGAAGATAAAAACATAGAAAAAGATGAAACTTTAACAGAAGAGACTGAAAAAGTAGAAGAAAATACAGAAGAAACAAAAAAAGAAGGAGATTTAGAAAATACAGGTATATCTTTCGTTTATTAAGTAATATATGTTATGACTCGTATATAATTTTCAAATTTTTTTTATAGATAAAACGGAAGAAAGTACTACTAAAAAAAGGAAACGAACTGACAGTAATAGTAGTAGTAGTAGCAGTAGTAGCAGTAGTAGTTCTTCTGGCAGTGATAGTAATAAACCAGATACACCGAAAACAGAAATTCGTAAGTTTAAATATTATATATTATAATTTTCATAAAATTGCCAATTATTTTAATTTAATTTGTTTCTAGATATAACTGAAAAAATGGACGTTAATGATGAAAATACAGATGCACAAGATAGTAAAGAAGATGAACGAGAGACTAAAGGAGATAGTGAACCACAACCTGAAGCTAAAAAGACCGCTATGGAACCAGAGACAGTGATCGATTTAGCTAGCGAAGATAAAGAAAAAGAACCCAGAGCATTACACAAGACTAGCAGTATTTTTCTTCGTAATTTAGCACCTACAATAACAAAAGCAGAAGTTGAAGCGGTTAGTTATTATAAATATATATATATATATCATAGATCATAGTACAATTAATTATACTAAATAAATAATTTTTATTAAACAGATGTGTAAACGTTTTCCTGGATTTTTACGAGTTGCCATAGCAGATCCTCAACCAGAAAGAAGATGGTTTAGAAGAGGATGGGTATCTTTTGAAAGACAAGTAAACATAAAAGAGATATGCTGGAGTTTAAACAATATTCGAGTATGTTAAAAAAATAATTAAGATACACATGAATAATAAATATAGATTAGAAATTAAAATTTATTAATTTTTACAGTTACGCGATTGTGAACTTGGTGCTATAGTAAACCGAGATCTTTCTCGTCGTATTCGTACAGTAAATGGTATAACGTCTCATAAACAAATAGTCAGACACGATATCAAATTAAGTGCTAAAATCGTACACAATTTGGATAGCAGAGTTGGTTTATGGAACGATGAAAAAAAAGATGATAATACGCTTAAACAGGACGATGATAATAAAGAAAATAAAAGTATTCAAAATGTACATGAAGTTGAGCAAGCTGTAAGACAGCGATATAATTTATATGTTTAATTTAGATTTGTAGCATTCTCGTTAAAATATCGTGACATATGTTTTTATAGGCATTTGGATTGTCATCTAAAAATCCGGTATTGAAGAATATAACTGATTATCTAATTGAAGAAGCATCGGCTGAAGAAGAAGAATTATTAGGAATGTCCGGTGATCAAGAAGAGGGTCAATTAGGAGGTGACGGAGATGGTCCTATTGAAAGAGATCCAACGCTTATCAAAGTACTAAAAGTATATCAATAATATATATTCGTTTATTATTATTCAAATGTTATTTATTTCTAGGTGTTAGACAGATTAATCCTTTATTTACGAATAGTTCATTCAGTTGATTATTATAATCATTGTGAATATCCAAATGAAGATGAAATGCCAAATAGATGTGGTATAATGCACGTCAGAGGATCTCCTCCTACCGCCAAAGTTACTAGTACTGAGTTATCAGAATACTGTCGTAATTTTGAAAGCAAAATGACAGCATTTTTGCAACCAATTGCGACTTTATCTCAAGAGGAATTTGATAAACTGGGTGCTAAGAATGCCGAAGCGTATCCTTTATTTTTTTTTTCTTATATTGATACATTTTTCTTCTTTTCTTCTATTGTTAGAACTTTTTTCCCTTTCTTGTTTCTATTGTTTCCTTAATCTTTTTAAATCAGTGAGGTAGAAAAATTCGTTCAAGCCAATACACAAGAGCTATCAAAAGATAAATGGTTGTGTCCGCTTAGTGGGAAAAAATTTAAAGGACCAGATTTCATTCGAAAACATATCTTCAATAAACATGCAGAAAAAGTAGCAGAGGTGAAAGCGGAAGCGGAATATTTCAACAATTATTTAAGAGATCCAAAAAGACCACAGCTTCCCGAACATCCAGGAAATAAAGCACCTCCAAGAGAGAATTTACGCGAAGGATTTACTCCTTATGGATGTAGCACGTAAATATCAAATACTTTTAAATTATTGTTTCATTGAAACTGATAAAACAAAAATAAATTTGTTATTTACATCTTTATATTTCACAATAATATCTAATTATTATAATAGTCAATAATAAATAAAATGATTCTGTTTCTAAAGATTTGGAAGCTATGGTAGTGGTTACGGTGGTAGCAGAGGAGGATATGGATCAAGTTATGGTGCAGGATTCGGTGGAGGGTTTGGAATGCCACGTTCCAATCGCGGTGGTTTTAACAGAGGACGGTAAGATATTTTATATTGTTTTATCATGTTATCTATTGACTTCTTCAAATTAATTTACAATACCATGAAAAACAATAGAATTATGAACGAGTAAATATTTTTTTTCCAAAAGTCGATCAGGTTTTTTTAAATTCTTTTTCGATGTATTGAAAATCGTGGTGATATGATGTTTTACAGGGCTGCACCAGAATCTAGGCCTATTGTTAGTTGTATCTAGATGGACATATTCTAAGTTTTGTCAAGTATTGATCGAATATTTATTTGAATTTTTTATACGTAAATAATAATAATAAAACAAATTCTATTCAATATAGTATTCTGTTGCTAGCAGATTTTGATTATGTAACACGTAATATTATCAACTGTCTAATGAACGCAATGTGTTACAAAATCAGCACATTTTTCTCTTTTTTGATATGGAATAATTTTGATAACTCATATATGATATCATATTCTATATTTTAGTAAAAACAATTTCTCATATAATGTTCTTTAATGAAAAAAAAGACAGAATTGGAAAATAGAAGTGATCTTATAGAGAAATAGGAAATAAAATTATTTTTAATATTTATATGCTTTTATTTTATATTCCATATTTCCGTTCGTATTCTATGTCCAATTGATCGTACATTATAGATTGTTTTTAATTGTTTTAGAACTAATATTTACACATAGTTATTTTTTACAATAAGTATTTTAAAAAAAAAAAGTAAAATTTATTAATTTTTATTAAATATTACAGTGGCGGAGGAGCAGATTTTCGACCAGTCATTCATTATCGGGATCTTGATGCACCAAGAGAACCAGATGAATTTCTTTAAATAGCATTAAAAAACAAAAGATTGAAAGAGCAAAGGATTAAAAGGAACGAATTGGTAAAAGCAATACGAAGGTCTGTGTATTAGATGTATCTGTATATAACAAATCGTAGAATCATATACATACATATTATAAGACTTTATACAAATGTCTGCAGTCACTTGTATACAAAAATATATCTACGTATTCTAATGTGTGTACAAATTGACGCACTAGTAGAAAAATGCACATTAAGAATAAAGATCTCCTATTTAGTAAATAAATATTATAATATTTGCAATATACATGAAAATAATGTTTCGTCGAAATAATGGGTAAGATAAATAGATTGCAGTAAAAATGTATTTGTAATCTATCATATAATACAATAATAAAATATATTGTTTCCTAATTACACTCTGATGTTACGTATTTCATTCGTGAAACGTTTATTCCGTACCATTGCACGTTTATACAGTTATGTACAACGTTTAATTACATTAATCCGTAACAAAAATACTGTAACGCAATGTAAAAAAATATCTTCAATCAGATATTGCGTAAAATTAAGAGAATCGATCCTTGCAATGCCTCTCATCGCTTCCATCACCGCAATCATCTATCCCGTTGCACTTCATTCCTTTCGTAATGCATCTATTGTTTCTGTGCGAAAACGAATGGCATCAGGCACTTATTAATTAATCGATTATCATCAACTTACTGGCATGTGAATTCGTGTTTATTGCACCGTCCTTGGCATCCATGAGGTTCGTCAGATCCATCGAGACAATCTGGTAGGCTATCGCAGAAGCGAGCTTTTGATATACACTGTCCATTGCTGCACGTGAACTCGTCTTTCGAGGGACACGCTGGCATGAAAAGAAACGTTGTTGCAAACGTGTTACGCGACTATGAGTTAATATACACATAAGCAGTTTGCATTCTTTTAGAAGCATGGCAAGCTACGATATTTAAATTCGTATCGTTCGAGAGTTCAAATGAAATAAAAATTTGTTATATTGAAAAGAATAGTAAAAACATTTTTTTGCTCGTCGAAAAAAGCGTGCAATGCGTTTAGCGGCAATTATTAGGCAGGCGTGTTTCGTATGAAGCGAAAATTGAATGCATATATCAAATAAACGAGTATGTACTCACACCCACCGAGATTATGACCTACGAAGAAGAACAGAAAAAAAATTTAACCCAGAAAGAAAAAGAAAACCAGTGAGAGAGAAATGTGTGTGAAAAAAAAGATAAATAAAGAAACTGTATTGCCGACGATATACGAATAACTCGACGGTCGACGAACTATATAGTTAGTATAATCTCGGGGAAAATCGAGTCCTACGATTATCCAATGAATCGCGTGAGAAAAAATATATACGTAATTACTTTAATTTTGACAAGTCGATAATCCGCAAACCAACGGCATACGTTTCTCGTGAATACAACAACAAGTAGTTACGCATATCTTACCTAGAGTACAATTAATCTCGTCGGCTGCGTCCCAGCAATCTATCTTGCCGTCACATCTTCTTTCCAATGGAAGACAGGAAGTCTCGTTACCACATTGAAAATGTGTTTGCAAATCGCAATCTGCAACAGGAGACAATTATCATTCTCATATGTTTATCTTTCTACGATCACGAAAGTCTAAATTCATGCATTCCTCTGATGTTTTAAAACCAAATGTATAATATGCGTTGCTGACTTTTTACCGTCGAATTATTATTATTATATTGTAACAAACCAATAAAGAGTGAAGCCTCACAAAGCCTGGCAAAGTATCTGCAAATCCGATCACGGAAAAAAAGTCGCGAGTCGCGAAAAACTGGGCTAATGCTATATGCTTGTACATACCGCAATTGTATTCGTCTGAATGATCATAGCAATTCATGTGTCCATCGCAATGTTTCTCGAGAGGGATGCATAACGTATTTAGACAAGCCCATTCGTTGTCCAGGCAATAATGTTCCATTTCAACGCATCTTTAAAAACGGAAAAACGTTAAATTAGCAAGGCAAAACGAATTCGAATTACAATTGTTTTACAGGTATGCTTACCTAAAAGCATCGGTATCAAGACGATGACATTTTTGTTTGTTGATAAGACAGAAACCGGCACATCCGGTTGGATCTTTGGGATCGTTGGGTATCCTGCAAATTGGTACTTCCTCGTCGACAAGAGCAACGCAAACCTCTTTTGGCAAGCAATCGTCGCAGTATCTGGTGGAATTGAGATTCGATTCGATAGGGCTCGTAACTTCCGTTTCCGCTTCCGATGTTAGTCGAGTATGGCTCTCCGGAAATGACGAGTTACTGTTTAAAAAAATACTTAGGCTGGTGGCAGGTGAGAATTGCGATGATTTCGTTGATGACGTCGTGGTCGTTGTCTCGTTCTGTTGTTCGGTGTTATTACTCAACGACGAAGTATTAGTCGAAGATTTCAGGTACTGTTGAATTACCTGCAACTTTTCCGGTTCTGTAACAAATCGTTTCCATGTTACAACGATTACGAGTAACATGATTGAACGAAAGCAAAGACAAATATCACTTTCAATAATCGAAAAAATCTAACGTCGTTTATCAGTTAATTAGAAAACATATCTATCTTTTATATGCATCTAAATATATTATAAATGAAATTCACTTAATGCAATTTTTAATATACGTATATTTCTATCAAACTTGTATATATTTATACGGTTGATATAATATGCTTGTTAGATATGTATGTATATATATTTGTGATGTATGTACGTTTGTGGATGTACATGAATACAGGGTATCTCACCATATCATCTTAATTTATGTCACTGTCATTATCTTCAGCGAAAATTATTTCAAGAATGCACAACGTGATACAATTATTTTGTTGTAGATGAACACATCAAATTATACGTTATTTGATATATTATTAAACGCAACACTTTTTTTTCTCCTTTTTTTCCAAATTCTCTTTCCTAGTTTTTCTCACACTTTTCCGAATTTCTTGCTTCGAAATATTTACATAAAAATTCATTCACATTCATTTCTCAAACAAAATATTTTTTAATTTCATAAAAGTGAGCGTCACGTTTCTTTCTTCAATCCTTGCATCTATCGATGGGAATACATTTTTGTTTATAAATTAAATGGCAACCGAAAAATTTTGAGAATCAGCGCCATCTCGCGTTTGGATCACCGAAGCTTCGACTTGTTAGTAGAAAAGCAGAATATGCAAGGAGGTATTCGACAGACAAAGAGAGCAACATCGTGCGAGAAGGATAGAAAAAACGTGCCACTATTTTTGGTTATGCGACTCCTAATATTTTTCTAATATAATTACGTAATATTGAAAATTAATTAATTGCTCCTTTGTTGCTAAAAATATCTGCACTTTTGTACTCGCATTTTGAAGCTGGAACCTTAAACAAGTTTCTTGTATAAGTTTTAACGCGAAATTTTTTCTAATTAATTATTTATTAATAATTAATACGTCAATATGGCGACTGACGCGATCGACGCTCGATGCATTTTTCGCTAATTTCTCGTTGTTACGAAATTTATTTCCAAATAAAAATGTATGCATTTGAAACGTTACATTTTCCTCTATATTCCCATATAATTTTTATTCATAATTTCGTTGTTATTTGAATGAATAAATTTATTGTTTATTACTATGTTAGAGAATGGAATCATTACGATCCCGACATTCTCCGTAATAATTATTAATAAATAATTAATTAGAAAGAATTTCGCATTAAAATTTACACGAGAAACTTGTCTAAGGTTTCATTTTTAAGATGCGAGTATAAAAGTGCATAAATTTTTCGTAACAAATGAATAATTAATTGATTTTCGAAGTTGGGTAATTATATCATATAAAAATATTAGGAGCTGCATAACCAAAAATAGTGGCACGCTTTTTTTCATCCTTCTCGCACAATATTGCTCTCTTTGTCTGTCGAATACCTCCTTGCACATTCTGCTTTTCTATTAACAAATTGGAGCTTCGAGCGTCCAAACGCGAGATGGCGTTGATTCTCGAAACTTTTTAATCGCTATCTACTTTATCGGCGATATGTACATCTTTATACATTATATATCCCGTATATGCATAGTTTTAAATCAACGATACGTATATTATGTATATATAAAAGAAAATACACGAGCATTCATTTAACAGAAATGCAAGGATTAAAATACAGTTTCATTCACTAAACATACGTAAATATTTAAAAAATATAAATATAATAAGGATATAAACGCACATATGATTTTACATTTCTTTAACACAAGTTTATCGTGAGTGTATCACTTACCAAGAGCAATATACAGAGCGACAGCACCGACGCCCAAAAGCAACACGATCAACAGAACGAGGGATCTGGTGCATTTGGAAGCCTCGAGAGGATGCTCCAGATGCAGGGTCCAACCGTGTCTGTGCTTTCGAAGTCTGGCCGGATGCGGAGGTGGTTCTCTTCTGACGCAGCGTCGTAAGTTAATGCGATTTTGGGAGGACGGGGTGTGCGTTCGAGCCGGGAGGGAATAAGCCCTCTGAAAAAAAAAAGAAAAATATCGTATTATTTCGATCGCTCGTAAATTCGTAAAACGACAGAAGACGACATTGTTAGCCACGCGTGCAACGAATAGGCTCGCGATTTACCTGAAGCTCAGCCATTGACACTGCATTCTCCTCGAATCGGCGATATAGTTATAGTCATTCGATGCTCAACAATTGCTTATTTATTATCGATGACGTGTCCGAAAAGTAAACAGAGGCGCGGTAAAAAAGCTAGATATAAAACATTGCCAATTTTTCTCTTGCGAAATAGGCGAGGAAACACGGATTAAAATTTTAAATAACAACTTTCTCCGAGTATCGTTTTTTATCTCGTTTTATATAACGTTCGAAACGTTAAATATAGTAACGTCAGAGAATGGTGTTAAAAATTATGTACTTTTTTTTTTATAGAACGGAAACAGAAAATAAATTACGACGACTGAAAAACTGTTAGGAACGTGTGCGGATGGATCGTGGCTTCCGAGGTAATGGTCCGCGTTCAACTGACCGTTCTCTCCGTAATATTCCGTATGCGACACCTTATTCGACGCTTTGTTTCAAAGCACCGACGAAATCTGCATCGATCGATGCTCGATCGTTAAATAATGAAACAGATTTGAAGCGAGTTCTTTTAATAAGATTTTTAAAATTTTCTTTGGTGAAGCTCGTACGCGTTACGGAAGAGACGCGTGTGTGTACGACGGCGTGGCGCGTCGCCTGCCGACGATCATCGCGTCTGGCTATAGATAGACGTTTTCTACTTCCGTTCCGTTTTGTTCGTTTAGGGCGGACAAGTGCCAGACACGGCAAGTGCGCTCAAAATCGACTCTCTCCTCTCGTCGAGAAAATAATCATCGACAGGTCAAATTTCTCGGATATTTATATGTCTGGCAATCATATCTATATCTCTAACTTAATCGTTTTAATACCTTTTTCTCAATTCTATGCGTCATTCTAATAATTATCAATAAAATTTATAGCTGTAACTGAAATAAGGAGAAAAGAAATACGATACGATGTTCGAGTCGCGAAATCGATACTGTAAACAACTGAGAATATTCTTTCGAGTGATACACGACTGTTTAGAATACAAATGAAGTGGAAAAAAGATTTGGTCGGCTTCACACGAAGCCTGTTCAACCACGATGAATCGTAAAAATTGTTATGCTGTTACGAATTATTATAGGTATACCTTGATGAGTTACCTTGATGACTCACAATTTCAATGCGAAAGGAATGATAAGTGGAGAGATTATATCTTAAACCGATAGATCAAAAGAGGAATTAATTATTTTCATCGCGAACATCATTTACATTTTGTAAATGGAAATTTATTGTTATAACATACGGATTTTATCTTTTCGAAAGTCTACTTTATTCTTATTTTATTTTTTAAATAACGATCTTGTATTTATAATATATATCTCTTTTTTTAAAATACTCGTAATTTAATTTATATTTCAAATTATATTTCAAAATTATTATTTATTCTTTCACATAAAAGAATAGCAAGAAAATATTACGAGAAAATTGATTGGGAAAATACGAGAGTCGTGAAATGTTAGAAAGATTAAAACGAAATCATGACCTAAATGATAATTATGCTTTTAATATTCTTATGTCCGGGACAGCGCGAACGCAGTCCCGACTATCAAAAATTATACGCCCGAGATACCCACATTAGGGGTATTCGCAAGGGTCAGCCTAACCGTAGTGCAATGGAAAAGCCTCGCCCTGGAGGAACCGCCTTCTTGATCACGGTAACCTCTGCGCCAGGTAAGTATGCTTTGCTCCCCTTCGAGTCACGACTTATCCTATCCATTGACCGATATCACCAGCGAGAAACTCGTACTTCTCGTCGCCATCTAGCGGATAATCGGGTACTACACCACTTATCGAAATGATGGTTCCCAACCTGCTCTCGTATCTTCGACAGTGGATCCCAATCTACAACCTATCTACTAGTACAACGAAAAATCGATATCTCGCACAAATCGAGGCAAGTTTGAAAAATGTAATCTAAACGATCGATGGCTGAAAAACATTTGTAATTTTATCTCGATCGTCTTTTTTTACGTAAGTACACGCGAATATACTTATACAGTTTATTCTTCCAGAACGAAAAAATCATTTTTTATCGAATAATAACAAACAATTTCGAAAAGAAATTTTGAAACACCTACCTGAAATGTACCATGTTGTTTAACATCCGTGCAGAATATCGATGCCCCCTTAGTGTACCAACGTTCTTGAGAATATATGGAGTTCACTCTCAAACTTAACCGACTTTTCTCTGACCTGATCAAAGCGTTGTTGTCTTCGTTAATCACCGCGGGGTTGGCAAGATTCGTGCAACCATCCTTTCTTTCGATCAAATTTATCGGTGATCCTTTTCCGATTTTCTCTGATATCGTGAACACAGAGGAATCGAACGAGTTACCCGTTAACTCGTTCGCGTTGCCGTTCGGCGAACAAGCAGGCAGCATAGTGAAATTGCACGGATCGAGGATAGTTTGCGGATCATTGGATACTTGCAAACGTTGCTGTTGCTCGTTGTCCCTGTTCTTTCTCACAACGGTTTCGTTTTCTCTTTCGCCGACTTGGCGCTGTTCGCCATCGATGAACGCGGCAACTTTGCTTCTACAATGCTTGCAGTCTTTCTTCCTGCGCCTTCTGTTCGGACGTCTAGAGTCTGTTTGGAGAGCGGTCGACCGTGCTCGAGACGAGAGAGCATCGTCGACGAAGGTATTCCACGCGACATCCGTATCCTCTCGACACCCGTTGTTCCTCTTCCGATTCGTCACGCGGACAGAAGAGCTGGTGCCGGTAGATGGATCAAGGCCTGCACTCCGCCGAAACGGAAGCGTCGAGTTGCGCTCGAAGACACCGGCGATCTCTTCTCGCCTGTCCAACGATCTCGTCGACGTGCCGCGATCCCCCGACACGAAATATCGTTGAGCACGATTTTCGTTCGAAAGTCGAGATGGCGCATGCGTCGAGATATCCTCCGCGCCAGGCAAAATATCCTCGTACACGTGGGTATCCGAAATCTCTCGTGATTGCTGTTCTTCCTCGAAACCTTGATTCTCCATCTACGTTCGAGAAAAGAGAAGAGCACACAGTTAGAACGAAACGAATGATTTATGATTTTTTGACATTCGATCGATCGCTTTATATTAATTATCGTTAATATTCTCGATGATCGTCAATTAGTCAATTAGAATTTTTTTCTCTCGAGGAAACGAAGCAACAACGATTCATTATCCATCGAATGTGGGTAGAGGAAACATTTGAGATTCTCACGACAACCGATTCGACCTTCTTTGTAACCGTTAAATTAATGGATATCGCAACCAACTATATACTATCTACTATTATATCTCTCGGTATTTCATCGATCAAAGACTTAATAATTATCGAGCGATCATTTTCGAATTCAAACGTTTTTCTCTTCGAAATAATTCGAAATTCGTTTTCTCGATCATCGATTCATCGATCGATCGATTCATTAATTTCAGAAAAAAAAAAAAAATTAATACCCACAATTGCACGGTGGAGAGTTGGAACGAAGGAGCGATACGTTCGGGAGGGGGTATTACAATTAACGGATCGGCAATCTTTGTGGAGCTAAGTAAATAGCGCGAGGGACCCGTAAATTGAACGGCGAAAAAGAGTGGCGCGGAGAAAAGAGAGTTGCGACGAAGCGAGGGAGAGCGGAATTAAACGTCTCGTTGGGGAGCATCCCGACGATTGTCGCAATTATCGCGACTTGACTCCCCGATTGATCCCGTCAAAAGCCTCTGACGTCATCGACCTCGTAGATTTTTCGGTGGATTCTTATATCTAGTTCGCGATCCGACGCCTTTTCCAATTTTCGAAGCGAAATCGAAATCGTTTAACCAAATCTTTCGAGAAAATAAAATCGACGCGGTTAATCTCCGGCTTCCTTATTAGAAACGGAATCGAAGACCCAGAAATTAATTCCGCGCTCTCTATCGGTTCTGAGTCAACCACGCGCACGGTGACGCATTCCACGCGATTTCTAAAAGGATTGCGTACACAACGAACGCGTTGCTTCTTGCTCGTTGAAACCACTCGTCGAATGGAAAGAGGGAAAAAATGTCGAACGTGCGCTGAACGTGAAAAGGATGACTCGATCTGGCAACGATGTGTGAAATCACGCGGAACCGGATTTAAAAAGTAAGCAGGAAAAATACGTTTGAACGTTTTTCTTACGAACACTTTTCGATCGCTATCGATCTTCGTTCAAACGATACGACTCGCGTTAGTAAGGTAAGTAAACGAAGGGGTCCCAATGAAGAGAAAGAGGAGTGAGAGGAAAAGGAGCAAAGGCGTGAATCGGTCAGTCGAGCCGATGGCTAATTAGTTCTCGTCCACGCTTCTAAGGCTGCCCTCTCTTCTTACGTTGCACCGTTGTTCCGTCCATCGAGCGCTCAATTAGAGGTTAACCAATTAACGAACGCACCGTTCCGCAAAGGGCTCGGCGCAGCTGGCGCCTAACCTCTTTGGCCTACGCTTCACTTCCTTCCGTTCACGATCAACCATACCGATTCCATCGAATAATTTTTCCAAAAGTTAAAAATATCGAGAACGTGCTTATATTCCTTCGATCATTCGGTACGGTAATTGGTCCGCTGATTGAACGATTTCGATTGGATGATTTCGAATAAAAGCGCACGAGGCCGCACGTGTAGAGGGCGACCGTTTCAACAATTAGTCACGTTGCGACACGACTCGCCGCTTCAAGAGCTCTCAAAACTCTGTTCCATCCGCTATATTTTCGAATTTAGATCGAAGAAATTCCTTGAGAAATATCGCGAACGGAATATCGGAATACAGTTTGGAAGAGTGGTAATCGGTTCGGTAGCACGTGTCACGCCATATGTCGAAGCACGCGTTCGGACAGTGTTCACAATTCGCTTCGAAACTCGTTCGAATACGAGTGAAATGATATTTGGAACGAATTACTGGCATGCATCGTTGCCTTGGATCGTTAACAGCCGCCGAACTGTTTCGCGATTAAACGCCACCGGCTAATTGTGACTGGTTTAGCGTAGTTAGTGGTGATCGATTATTAATTCCGGAATATTCGATTTAAATTCTTGTTCGATGTCAGTTGCCTCATCGAATCTATAATCTAACGTGAGTTTTCTCTACGAAGAAATTGATATCGTGTATTTAGTAATCGATTGAAAGTGAAATAAACGAAAGAGATTATGAATAATATTTAATCATGATTGTATACGAAATAATGGAAAAAGAAAGGTTCGTATTGAAATTATTACATACTCGGTAGATTTTGCGAGAACGATGATTCCTCCTCGTTGTTCCATTCTCGTGCATAGTGATATCGAGGAAACAACAATGGCGCATTATACGAGAGCGTGGTCGAGAAGCAGGCCACGATTTTTCGAGAAGGGATCGCGATTACGACATTCTTCCCGTTTACCCGGCTCCAGATCGGGACCATTAATTCTGCGTTTCGTAGCTCGCTTATTATCCTGCCTACCTTCATATTTGCTTTGCTTTAATTCGTGAACATCGATATCGAACGACCAGCTAGAACAACGTCCCTTTTTCTCAATCATGTATCTGGTGGAAGTAGCACATAACAACGGGAAACGAAGAGAAAAAGTGGAATGAAGAAAAATCTAGTCTATAGTTTGCGTGGGAAATGCGAAAACGTTGGTGAAAATGCGCGACAGTTAACGATCGTAGAAAAACGAGCGAGTCGATGTTAAAGCGTTCGATAACAACGCATTCGTTACAGTTGCGATATCCTGCCTGAGGAAAACTGGAACGTTACCTATGTAACGTTAATGAACAGAAATTCTTACGCACGGATTTCATTTTTTTTCATCCTACTGTACTTTATCTCTTTTTTTCAAGGAAATTGGAAAATTTATTTGTTGTTTTTCTAATTGCAACATAAATTTAGTTGAGAAAGAAAGTGAATTCGATAGAAGGCCAAGCTTCTTCTATCTTAATGACGCTTTCGTCCGAAGGGGATGTAGCTCAGTGGTAGAGCGTTCGCTTTGCATGTGAAAGGCCCCGGGTTCGATCCCCGGCATCTCCAAACTTTTTTTCTCATCTCATCGATTGTTTTTATTCGACTATATATACATATTGCCTTTTCCCCTTGATTCGATCGTATCTCTGTAACGAATTGAAAATATAGAGTTCAAAGATTGTCGATTTATCCGAAATAGATTCTAACGGTTATTTTTATTTAACAAAATTAAGAATCTGTGTTCGACAAAAACGATTTATTCGAGATAAAAAAAAACAATGGGCATTCGAATGTAATAATTGGAGGCTTGGTTTATTATGCTCCTAATAAGAGCGATATATCGCGTCGATTATCCGCTAAGTATAGGGTCGAATGCTAAGGGTTATTGGCAGTGAGCATCGGCCGATGACTACACGTCACTGGCATGCACACAGTCGTAATTCATACAGTCGGCTATAATAGCTAGCTCTGGATCTCTGTACCCATACACAACTATGCCCCTTGTCTCCTTTCTTCTTCGTTGGCCCCCTTTGCCACGAGCAACACAAATAAATCATGAAATTCATTGCTGACCATTTCTCCAACAAATCTTTACGGAATCACTTTGCGTCAGACTTAATTCGTCTCGTACGAAATTCGCTCGTACCAAGGATAATTGACTGATTAACGCGTGAAATCATCAACTCGATCGTTCTGTATTAAACTTGACTATTAATCAACATGATTCGATAACGTAACAAGCGGATTGGAATTTTGACGCAACGAGATGCTTAGTGGCGATTAAACAAGTGTATCTTAATATAAGATCTCGCTATCATCGAAAAGTTAGCTTACTTTTCATGATTTTATATGAAAAATAATAATAACGAATAAGAAGGAAAGATTAAGAATATATAAAGCAAATTTCGAAGAAGATTCGGAACGTTACGTCGAGTAGCAACCTCAAGCTCTTTCGATCGTAGCCAAAGATATAAATACCCCGCGTGTACGAACTGTAGTCGAATTGACCGCACAGAGTCAGTAGTATCGCTTCTTCCGTGCCGTCCATTTTCATTTTTCTCCACCACTAATTGTAATCGAGAAGTTCGAACGGAATATTTCGTCGACGAGCGACATCTATATATATATAGATCTGTAGAAGAATTCGTGAGAGAACAAAATTCCCTCGAGTTTTCCACTCATCGTTAAGAAAAGGATTCTTAATGCTAATGGCCAATAGGTTTGAGAATGTCGAGCGTGTAGAGCGGTGAGGAAAGAGAAAACGAAGGGAAGAGAAAGAGAGACGACTAACCGACAATGGGACGAAAGAAAATGTTCCGGTTGGCCGCGCTTCGCTAACCGAGGGTCACGCGTTCGCTTTTATTTACACCTGGCACATACGCATACATGGCGCCCACGCAACGCTGACTCGTGCACCGACTATGCCTGCACCCTGTTCCCCCAATTTTTCCTCCTCTAAACAGATCTCGACCGCCGTTATCCGAATCGAGATTCGATAACACGGCTAGATGAACTTTCAACCGAGTTATAATCGCAAACGGTTACAACCGACGGATATAAATAGAATGGCGTGAGTGAGCCAAATCCAGGAAAAGTTGGTGGTCGTGATACTACCGGCTCCCGCCGTGATGATGCTTTCGCGACACTTTTTTCGTTCTTTCGTTCATTTCCTTTCCGAGAAACTGTTTGCTAAATCTTTCGATGTTCTAAATACATATCTCTGTGACCTCTTAATTCGAGTTGACTCGCGTGAATTTCCAAAGAGAGATTAACGAGGAATGTTAACGAGGCGTTCAGGGTAGCAGAGTGTACGGTGCTCGGCTCCATGCACTCGAACCACTCAAGTGTATATATATATATATACGTCGTTTTCAACAATGAAGGAACTTCTTTGTTCGAAAAGAAGACCGCGAACTTGTTGACGATCGCCGTCAAGTCCGATCCTTGACTGTGACAAAAGGTAACTGTAATTTGTTATCGTAGTGTGACGATCGATATCCTTGTGCATAGCGAAGCGTGATACAAATCGCGATTTGGATCCAGTTTTTTTATCGGTCAAACAGTGAAACTAACGAAAGATTAGGCGATCTACAATTCGTTCTTGTATTGAATAAATACGATAACGTTCTTTTTATTAATTGATGTTTGTATTTGTTACGATAAAATCGAATCGCGAATGCAAGAAACGAGAGGAAAGAATGAAACGCGGGAAACTCGATTGTATATGTCTGCTCGAAGTACTAGACAAAATAAATTTTTCTTTTGTTATACAATACTATACGCGAATGCGCATACAATATGCATAAGACGCGCTACTTTGCAAACTGTCGCATACACAACGGGAAAAAATAATCGTTCGTCAGAACGAAATACCGGATAAAATATAAAATTACTAAATGATTTAGCAATATTAAATAACTCTCCTATTTTTTAAAGGATAATGAACTCATTTATAAAGAATGAAAAAAAAAAGAAACAATATTTAAATGTAAATAATTTTTCTTTAAACGATTCTTTTCAAATATCAGAAATTTCTATAGTCATATTATTTCCCGGAAGTAGAACGAGATTAACATTTCGAGCAAAATACTAATTGACAAGTTAAATTTTTGAAAAATAAAAAACTATTAAAAAACTATTAAAAAATAAAGTAAAAAAAAATAAAAAAATTATTAAAAAATGAATGATATAAAACTGAATTTATTAATGTAAAAATATATAAATATATATATTACTCACCTTTGGTATGTTATAACAATCTCATGTTTTCCGTAAAATAAATAAAGACGAAACAACTGTTTTCAAAAAGGTTCAAATTTTTTTACTTGGCCGATAGATCATTAATTTTTTGATCATCGTTATTGTTTATTTCTATCAAACGTCACATGTTGATCCCGCGCGCCGTTCTTTACTCCGGCAACGTGTATCCGTACTCGATGCGCACTTATCACGCATCGATGTTTACGCACCGAATGCCGCGCGCACTGTGAATGACGCGCGGCAAGATATACTGTGCCGGTCTGATCTGGCACAGTTGTCAAGTACACAATTCATAGCAACCAATCATGAAACATCTATATATTTAGTCAGCCAATCGTATTTATACAATCTTTTACACGTGACAGTTTTACCGACTGTTGTATAATTCTTATATTGATATTTTAAAAATGTACCGCCAAATTATTGAATTTTTTTTTCAATGAAAAACTATTATAATTTTTTTCTTTATTGTCATAAATTTTGACAATCTATTTTCTATGTAAAATTTTATTGTGGAAATTTAAAATTAAATAACTCTTTCCATTTTCCGAATATTTAATATAAATTTAAAATTATGAAAATATTTTTTAATTGTCAAAAAATTTATATAAACTTCGAAATTATGGGTTACCGATTGGTGGTACGTATTTGTCAACATCGTATTGTACCATTAGAAATGAATTTTCATAGTTTGCACATTTCGTAATAGAAAATAATGGATTTCTCTAAACAAGAAATATACATATATCGAAATAATAAACGATGCAAGAATCGCAAAGCGCAAGACACAAAAATTTAAATTAGAACATGAAAGAAGAAAGCTATTGGTAGATATGTAATAAAGAAAATCGAACTATATAAGGTGGCGCGGTGGCATGCATTTCGTGGTAGAATTATGATTATGGTGCAAGCTGTAGCTCGTGCGTTCGATGTGCTCGTGATGTCTGTACTCCTGACACTATTCGTCGATCAAGTAAGAGCGACGACGAAGAAACGTTCTAATGATGCAGCTCTCGTATACCACTGCAGCATGCTATAGCCCCGTAGAATGTTAGCGCATATCTCGTGTACCAGTGTCTCCTTGTTCTATTCTGCTCGACCCGAAGTCGATCAATACGTCGGTTTTACGCACGGTTCGTCCGTGTCTAGACAATGAACTCTTGTTCGTTGTGTTTCTCATTCATGCGTAAGTCTTTTCCATATCCATTTTTTCTATGACAACTCGAAATGCCATGTTTTTTCCATCGAACCGATACAGTGTTCGACTAATTGTTATTACACCGTACGCTTTCTTGCGACGGAAACAATCTTTTATAGACGGATGATCCCTGAAGGGTACGAGAGTATCGATGGAATTTTGGTATAGCAAGTATCGTGGCACTATATTATTTGACATAAATTGATTATAAATTATCTAAATATTTAGTTATTTTTTCAAATGATTTATCTAGTAGGAAATATTACACAAGATATTTAAAAAAATTTGCATGCAATAGATTTTTCATAAAATTAAATTGAATGTAATATTTTTTTTCATTTAATAATAACAATTCATTTTTTTTCTTTATCAATGTCCAGGTGTCTTCTAGGCTATGCAATGGGGGACACGTGTAAGTTTTTATTCTTTTTCTTTTGAGTTTAAACTTTTATATTTATCGTATTAAAAGCAGATAAAAAAAACTAGATTTATTTTTTAGCTGCTCTCCTCCAAAAGAGTGCTGTTCCTTTGGCTGTTGTTACACAGTATTTCAACTGCACTCTGCATCAGACATGTTTAATTTCTTGATTTGGACTTATTGGTATTTATGGTTAGTAAATTAATTTTATAATTATATTTTATACTTTTGTTTAATTAATTGTTTTATAATTATATGTAACAATGTTTAATTATTTATTTAGGGCAGCAGTGCTTGTCGGATTGGCTATAGCAGCAGCATGTGGCTGTTGGTTATGGAAACGTCATCATTCATTTCGTCATCGTTCATGGTCTCCAGAAATAGTAGAAGATTTTACTTCCTCCGATAGAGGATCTTCAGTATCCTGGTACTCACCACCTCGTTATAGTCGTTCTGGTTCCTTTGTTCAAGCATTACCACCTCCGTATAATGAGGTATATAACATAACATTGATACAATATTTATATTTTTTGATATCATATATTTTATATTTTTATATTTTTTAGGTTACAGCCAAACCAAATCTATATCCATTAGTCATTGGATACGATGAAGGATCTGGTAAAGGAACTTCAGGATTTGTAATGCGTTATTTTAGATCACTCTCACATGCAAGCACATTAGATTCATTAGGTTCAAGTTTTATGTGTAATATGGTGAACGAGGCAAATACCATAATTCCACCACCGTATTCGTGTAACAATAGCGTTGACGAGTTGTCTGCAGTAGAATGTGCAAGGATGGAAAATATGGATGTTGGATCCGTTGTATCATTGGCTAATCATAGGACTACCTCTGACATATCGAGTTTAGCTGCTCAATCTCCGTGTTCACCACCACGGGCTACTAGTCCAACAATAGAGGTATTCGTTTAAAAAAAATAATGTTTCAAAATAAAATATATTCCAATATATATATATATATATATTTTTTTTTAACGCGTAATATTATTTTATAGTTACGTGAATTGTTAGATAAAATTCAACAATTACCCCAACTACCGGGTGGACATAGTACTGTATTGTCTTGTTATCAAAATCGACCTCAAGTTTTATGTACATCGAATGCAAATGGCTCTACGCAACGGCCTTTAAGTCCAGGTGATATTGGATCTTATAAAACTAGACGGACGCGAGGAAAAATGTACATGCCATTAGGACTTCCAAGTTCGAAGAACAAGACTAGACGATGGCTATCGCGATCAGCACCGACGACACCTTCGGGTACGATACCAATGTCTTTTTTGCCTGGACAAACTAGACGACCTTCAGAAACAGATAATAATAATCGGCAAGTAGTTCCTTTGCTTTCGGAACAAGATGAAACGGAAAGCAATAATGTAGATCAGATGAACAACATTCCATTATTATCTGAACAAGAAGAAGATAGACAACAAACATGACGATACGTTTAACAATGTGTTTTGTGCTTATATACGAAGGAAAGAACCTATTCCAAATAATTTAACTTTAAATAAGTGCTATATTTTTAATATGGCTGGTAAACTCCTTATTATTATAACTTTGTACGAAATGTTATCACGTTTAAAATTTACAGCAATTAATTTCGTCCAAAAATCAAATATTGCCTGCTAGAAAAGAGAAACGTTTACTGCTGTGATTTAATTTTTCGTTTCACTGACAGTCGATGCCGTCGTATCTTTTCTTTTTTCTAGCGAATCTTTCAAACCGATCGATATTCGATATAGATTAATAAATAATAATGTAAACTTTAATCTCTGTGAAATAGTGCGTACAATTAACTTACAGTCATTCAAAGAAACACGAAAAATAATAATACACACGAAATGTTATGACGATAGATTTTATGTAAACATGTTTAAGCCTTGCTTGTTGAAATTTTCGTCGAATTATATATTTTATACATCGAATTTAATTTTTGCCTAAACGATTGTATCAATGAAAAGTGAGTTATAAGTTGATAAAACATATTATTTAATTGTTGCATTGATAAGTTTTAATCGTATACAATAATATACAGTGTCCATCCAAAAGTAGCCAGCCAGAAAGGATTTAAGGACAATATACAAGTTAAAATAGTATGAGTTGAAGTGTGAATGAAACGGAAAGAGTCGAATTTTCATGAATCGATGTATAATATCAATTTTATTGAACGGTAGAGAAGACTTGTAAAGGGAAAGCACAACGATTGCTGAATATTGATAATTTTAATCGAAATGGAAAAAAAAAAAAAAAAAAAA